ATACTTCCAGAAATAATGTCAAAATTTAGAAAGGTTGATTTCTCCTCTAGGCCAAGTAAAGGTATAACTGTGAGTATAGAGAATATAATCTTACAGTCTATAAAATCACACAATTCTTATTTATTACTTTGCATTTGTCATATGTGTTACTTGTATACTAATTACAATGAGCCAGTCATCAGTATTATGACCTGGTTTTTAAATGGATTTATAAAGAAAACAGAGAATAGTCTAAACATGCACATACAAATATTCTTTGGCCTTTACACATATATTGGTCAGACTCCAGACAACCCAAAAATTATTACGGTGGAAATTAATCTGTCTTACAATCTGAAAACCTGGTCCGTGGCTGACAGGGCTAGAGAACAGGGTGTCCTCACTGATGGAGAGAACACATTTGCTCTTCCTAGGTCTTTGTTTCTGCGTCAACCCTGTTGTGCTGGCTGATGCTGTCCACACTGCAGAGAGCCATTTTCTTCACTCAGCCTCCTGCCCATAAGCTGCTCTTGGAAGCACCTTCAAAGACACGTGCAGACACAGTGTCTCATCAGGTATCTGGTGCATGTTTGTCCAATCAGGTCTATGTATAAAATTAATCACAAAAACTCATTTTTGACTATTCCTAATATTTTTCCTTGAGTTTTTGGTACAAGAGAAATGCTGAAGTTTAATGTTTTGTATTATTGCATTCTTTTTTTTACTATTAATTTCTTCTATTGGTACATTTTAGGTATACAACACAACTACATTTCTCATTGGGAACTTGTACCTTTATATGAGCCATCTTGGTTCTTATTTTTTCCCCATTCCTAGCCCTCCCTTCATGCCATCCACCCTTCCCTATTTACAAAGACTTTGTTTCCAATTTTTCCATTTCTCATAATTTTTCTTTTCCCTTCTTTTTTTTCCCCTGCCCCTCTCACTACCCGTACCTCTTTGGACCTTTTCTTCCAATTTTACATTATTGATTGTTCATTCTAATCATTGGTACATTTTAAGTATACGATATAATGACATTCATCATTGGAAACTTGCACGTTACATAATCTCTCTTGGTTTGTTTTCGCCCTTGCCCAGTCCTCCCTTCAACCACACCATTGCTCCCTATTTACAAATATTTTGTTCCTATTTTTCCATTTTCTCATATTAATTCCATCCCCTTCTTTCCTTTCCCCTAGCACTCCCACTTCATTTGCCTTTGCCCCTTTTCTTCCTATCTCACATTACCTATTATATATTTTAGTCCTTATTTACACTTTCAGTTACTCACACCAAAGAACCTATTTGGTATTTATTCATGTGTGTCCTATTTATTTCACTTAAGAATATCACCTCAATGTGTATCCATTTAGCTACAAATGTCTCAAATTTCTCATTTTTTATGGCTGAGTAGTCCTCCATTTTGTGAAAAAAAACAACAAAAAACCACATTATCTTTATCCAGTCTCCAGTTGATGGGCATTTGGGCTGTTTCCAAGCTTAAGCTATCACAAACTGTGCTCCTTTGAACAAGGGTGCACATATATCACTGTGGTGATATTCTTTTAATTCTTTGGGGAAGATCCCCAGTAGGGGAATAGTGGGGTCAAATGGGACTTCCAGACCTAGTTCATTGAAGTATCTCCATACTGATTTCCACAGTGGTTGCACCAGTCAGCACTCCCACCAGCAGTGGAGAAGGGTTCCTCTTTCCCCACAGCCCCACCAGCATTTGTTATTGGTTGATTTTATGATAGCAGCCATTCTTTCTGGAATGAGGTGGAATCTCAGCATTGTTTCCATTTGCATCTATCGAATGAACAGTGATGT